GGGCGGGGACACGTGGGGGGGGGCTCCCTGCCACTGCCCGCTCCACAGCCTTTCCCTGTGGCCCCTTCTGCAGCCCCACGGACGTGCCCGGCTTTCCCTCCTGCCGCCGCTCTGCCGCCTTTCCTTGCTGCTCCCGCGTGCAACTGCAGGCGATGCAGAAGTCAGGCAGAACATGGTGCGAGGTGACTAACTTTAAGTAGCAATGGGCAAAGCCGCCTTCAACATCCAAATACAGACGTGAGGGACCAGAAGAGCTGATGGCATGCGATGTGCTGTGGTGGCAGGAGCAGATACAGTGACAACGATTTGGAGAGAGGAGCTAACAGGGCGGTCAGGAAAAGCCCTGACCTGAGGGAAGTGGGAGCGCTCCTGACGTGATGGGCCACTCTCCCGCTGGACTTGCTTTGCAGCAGAGCTTTGGGACTTTGCCCGCCTTAAGTAAAAAGTGACAAATGCAAAATTTTTGAAGTTGAGAAAACTATAAAAGTCATTACCTCCCAGATGTGTTTCCAGTTGACCAACAGATTTGACGCTGCAAAGGCAATAGCCTTATTTCCAGAGGAAAATTAGGGGCGATGTTAAACATTTCTTTATCGCAGGAAGGTTTGAGTGCCAGTCAAGAGCCAGGTCCAGTTCTTGGACCACAGGCCACAGCGTGGGGTTTGAAATCTGCCTGGGCATCTCGTGTTCCTGATGTCAGGAATGTAGATGAGGAGCATTTAAACTCAAAGTTCACGGAGTGAAGTTGGGCGGTGTGTGGCATCCTTACATTTTACCTGCATGGCTCTCCATGTTCTGCAGAGGACTACAAGACTCAACTGAAATAAAACTTTTAGATTTTCTGGTTTATCAGCTTGTAATTGAATTGCTTCTTTTTTCATACCTATAAGTGTTCTCTTTTTCCATTTTCAGAAGTTTATGTTACACAGATGTTTTCATTGCATCAGCTGACTGTAATGAAGACACAACTTTGATGTTAAGCCCCCAAACTTGGCACCTGGTCAAGCTGAATTACAAAAGGACTGTACCTTTTTCTCTATTTTAACTTTCCCCTTAAGCCAGAGTCAGCCAACAGAAGGCTGTCATTGGCGCTGCCAGTTGGATAACTGGCTGAAAAAAACCCCAAAAAACCAGTATTTGTTCTGACAGTATTCATGTGCTCACCTCATTGGGATTGCTAGAGGCAGGTTAGGTGCTAATGAAATTTAAACAAGGAAATAAAACATCAGAGTATTTTATTTACCTCCAAAATATCAATGTATCACATGATAAAGAAGCCACAGAGATCCATGAATGGAGCATTATCTGACCAATTAAATTTTTTTTTAATCTTACATTTTGGATGAATAATGGCTTAAGCAATATGAATGATCTCCACTGATATTTTGCGTGAATACACAGTTGCTTTTTCACAGGCACCCTGTGAAAGAGGAACCTGATGAGCTTCATTTTGCTTTTCTTGGACTAATTTTGTGCATTTTTGTTCATAAATGTAACTCAAAACCTTGTACGTGTTTAGAAGGTGGGAGGTGAAGATTTAGCCCTTCTTGGCTTTGTGGTGATATGTTTTAGAACACCCCGATTTATCTATAATCATGTTAAAATAACTTCTAGAAATGTCAATATCTATTCCAGATTTAGAGACTGCTTGACATGTATAAAATCTGCTTATTGAGTGTTCTCTCAATTCAAGAGTAGTGAGTTCAAGTATTTTTATTCCATTGAAAACTAGAAGATGCAATTGTGTAAACTGTGACTCACTTGAGTTAGAGGTGCTTGTACAAACTGTGTACGCGAGGAAGATCTGCAGAACTTGGCATCTAGATTAGAAGTTAAGGAACAGACTATGGTGAAATTTCCCAGATGTTTATTTTACTGCGGGGAAATTAATGGTATTTCTGCTAAAATCTGAGTTTTCAGCAGGCTAAGGTAATATAAGAGAAGCAGGAATTTTTTAGGAATGACAGGCAAAACCCCAGTTTTGGGGTTACTTTTGTTCTAGTTTTGTAACCAATTAAGTTTACTTTATTCAAGTTTTGTTTATTCATATGGCTGAAAAGACAGCACACATTCTCCAGCAGTACCTGTGGAAAGCTGAGGAACTCTGCTGGTTTCAGAGCCATCGGATATAACGCAATTGGGGATTTAGACGTCAGGGCGAATGGGAACCAAATGACTGTGGCAGAGTCACGTCAGTGACTCAGTTCCAACCCAGCAAGGGACCAAACATGGAGCACAAGCGTTGTCCTTTTGGACTTTGCCTCATGAACGTCTTCGTACACGTAGATTTACACGGCGAATTTTCATGGGTCAGGAAAGGAACAGTTGTGGATGGTCTTGGCATGTTTCGTTCTGCCCCAGTGTAGGGGGACTGGTGATGTATTGAGATTGGGTTTTGTGATTACGCTGGCAAATCTCACTTTTTCATGTTTTGTAGAAAGGTAGAATAAAGAAATGCAGAATGCAGACTACAGCTATCCCTCAGGAAAAACTGTATTTAATGGACTGCAATCTTGATAATAATTCTAAAGAAATAGTCCCCAAAGTGTTGATAGTTTCAGAAAACTGTTTTTTCCCCTTTTCCTTCAGTATGCTGTTTGGAGATGACAACCAAAAGGAAAATTATCGGCCGCTTGGTGCCCTGCCGGTGTTTTCGTGGTGAAGAAGAAATCGTCTCAGTGTTAGATTACTCTCACTGTGGCCTACAGCAGGTGCCAAAGGAGGTTTTTAACTTTGAACGAACGTTAGAGGAGCTTTACCTAGATGCCAATCAAATTGAAGAGCTACCTAAGGTAATCAGTGTTCTGCCTGTAATACAGATGTCAACATTGTGTTCTTAAATGTGTATTCACCATGTGCTTCACCTCTGAAACGCGGCTTGCTCTTGACCAGGAGACCCGCTTGCTGTGGGAAGAGTCATGGCTGTTAACTCTAGAGATGCAATTACATGTGTACATGGTTTTTTCTGCCCTCCCCTCTCTGAAGAGCCCAAAGAGCTGAGACACGGTTCTCGCAGATGGTACGGCGTGGGGAGGAGCAGGGCCACCCACTTCTCCTTGCTGCACAGCGTAAGAGCGGGGGGAGGCCAATGAAGCCTCAAGCTGGGAAATTAACGGTTGTTCAAAGGAAATACTTCTTGCACCGCAAGTAATTAATTTGGGATTTGATACCTTGACCAGGAGTACACTAACATATGGAGTAGGTGATCTCACGTTTGGATCCTCTGTAGCGCTGCTTTTCATAGAATCCTAGAAAGGTTTGGGTGGGCAGGGACCTCCCAGCCCATCCAGTCCCACCCCCCTGCCATGGGCAGGGACACCCTCCACTAGCCCAGGTTGCCCAAAGCCCCATCCAACCTGGCCTTGAACACTGCCAGGGAGCCAGGGGCAGCCACAACCTCTCTGGGCACCCTGGGCCAGGGCCTCACCGCTCTAACAGTAAAGAATTTCTTTCTAACATTTTAAAAGCAAGCTCTTTGTCAGGATAAGCTGTTTATCCTTGTGGGATATTTTTATAACTGCCAATGACGCCCTGCAATAAGATTGCTTAAGTTGTCCTTCCAGTCTAAAACTTCTTTTATAGAATCTTTAAATCTGTTCTTCTGTGGTTTAATGGAATAAGGAATTAAAAGTTACTGTAACGTAAGTGTTCTGGAAACAAAAGAGGGCAAGGTAGTGGAAAAACCAATTAATAGTAGGTGCTAGCTACATAATGAAGCATGAAGTAATGTAATCCATTCCTTAATTGAATTTTTCTCAACAATAATGAAAGATGCTTACAAGTCTTTAATTAAACATTGTTCCACTGTAATCCATTCTTCATCATCTCTCAACATATTTCTCACTTACATTGCATAGAGACTTCATATAAATTCTGTTTACGAATGTAGTAAACGTACTTTTTCCATGACATGGAGTTTCTTTATTTGGATATGATGGTTCATTGCATAAGATTGCTCACTCCATGAAGAAATTCTTTACAGATGGTAAGACAGGGTAGCTACTATCTTTTAAGTGTCGCAGAGAAATGACATGGAGAACTGCCTTATCTCTCCTACTGCCAGAAAGGACAGCAGAGAATCAGGCATTTTTCTGTCCCCGTAAATATGAAGTGGATTGTGGTGGAGACCATTGTACTGCTAATGAATACCTTCAGGACTATTCCTCTTTTAATAATAATGCATGGTTAACCTTGTATGTTTTAATTACGCTACTGAAGAATCGTACCGAAGAACATATGAAGTGTCTGATTTAGCTAGGGCTTTTTGGTGTGCTTGCTTTGGGTCTCTTGAACGTCTGCATCACCATAATATTCAGACTAAATTGCAGTGTGTAATAGAAAACAAATCTATCAGGGCATAAAACAAGAGCAATATGCCATAATTCTGTATGGAAAAACTGAGGGCCAGAGGTCAGGGCTCCCAAAGTAGGAAACTGGGCAGAAGGTGATAGTGGTTAGCGTCAGTCACGACCGAAAGGTGCATGCTAACGAATCCCTGGCATTGTGTCCTGGTATCATCTGTTTCGTACTGGTTATTTGTGAAACGAAACAGCAGATAAATGCGTACCTCGGAGAGATTTAAATGTATAGGAGTCTATTTTTGCACCTCTCTTTTCTCATTTGTCTTTGAAGCAAATAGTATGTATTGAAGCAATAAGTTTGGGTAAATGCATTGTTTAACATAGACTTGGCCTTGTACGAGAGAAGATTAATGGGAGTGTTAATTTGCTTGCTTTATACCATTCATAATTTTTTGTCTTAAGCCTGTGTTAATCATTACCATAAATTAAATAGTCCAAATAATTTCTTTATCTAATTTTCTGCTTCAGATATTATTTGCTGCATGTCTCTGAACTTCTTTTCACTATTGAATTAATATTCTAGGAGAGAAAATGTCTTTTTTTTCTTAAAATTGCATCATATTACTTAACATTAACCTTTGTATTACACGTTATCATCTACCATAGGAAGAACTTTCCTCTCTCTGTAAATGTGAATTCAAATAACTTCTTCTAGAGGAAATTTGTTTTGTCAATTTTCTCTTATTTACCAAATGTTACCTGCCTCTGAAGTTACAATATTCTTTTGAAATTTTCTCTCATCAGAACTTATTATCATGTTTAAAAATTTAATGAGAAAAGCACAGGAAAAAAGTCTTTATCTACCTTAGTTACTTTCACTGCTCTAGAAACCAATACATTATTTTGCATTAAACTGATGTATTAAACTCATTCTGCTTGCTTTTTTTTTTAATTATTTTTACCTTACATTTTATGCATCATAATTACGCTTTTTTTCTGCTGTCTTCATTGGAAATGGATTTCTAGTTCCTAATTTCTAATATTTTTCTTTTCTTTTAAGGATTTATAGGAGTGTTGCATAATTCTCATTCTCTATTTTCCCCTAAATCTAGCCAAGTCTTTTATTTTATTTGCCTTTGACTTCATTATCCTGAGCTGCTGCTGCAAGTATGTCCCTATTTGTCTGAGTCAAATGAATCAATGACTAATAAAAAAGGCTATCGATTTTGATGAAGGTGGAGTCACTGGCAATCAGTATCCAGAAAAACATGAATGAGATGAAAATTCTCCCCAGCAGCTTTCCATTATAAATATAAAGTAAAATCTGGACTAATTTGTGTTAGACAAAATTAGTTTACTTGCTGATGCTCTAGGAAAAATTGGCCTGTCTCTAACCACAAATTCTAGGAGTTTCCACCACTGTGTTTCGCCATGCCACGTGTGGGTACTATAGATACCAGGAATGCTAAATATCTACTGAAGCTAGAGGCTACATCTTAATGCTTAATTGTCTCACTGAGAACAAACGACGCAACCAATATATAAATGGTGCTGAGGTAATCTCTAATGTATAGCTCACATAGATGGCTGGGTATTATAAATTATTCTAAATTTTTCTTTTGCATTGCATTTGCTATACAAGTTATAGTTTCCATTAAAGGCACCAAATACTTCTCCTAAATCCGCCAACAATAAATCGTGTTTCTGTTCTGCAAAGCTAGAAGGCTAGAAAGTGTTATTTCTTTGTAATCCTGACGTCAGGTTCCCCCAAAATGTTAGCCAACCTCTTTCACGGTTGTGCCTGTAGAAAGCGAAGAGCAGAAATTCCGTATTGTTCTCTGACGGCCCCAGAAGCCAACAACCTCTCTTGCTCTGCAGTCAAGAACTTGAGATGCGCAGAATAATAAAGAGCCCGTTGTTGTAACTCCAGTCGCGGCACGATTAGCACCGTGTGGTTTCCAGTCTGAAAGGAATAAAAGTAGTATAGGGACATAGACTATGATGATTGCATCGAGTCCGTGACGGCAAGGCCATAAAGACATTGAGAAAGATACCTTTTGAAAATCCAGTGGGTAAAAAAAGAGTGGGCAATTTGGCAATTTTGGGCCTACATACCAGGGTTCACTTTCTTGTATTATTTCTGATACAACAGTACATCATAAAATTACTCCAGGGAATATTTTTTATTACATTTCTTCATTCAGCAGTTCAAAAACCTTGTATCTGTTCAGGCATTGTCAAAACCTGAAGTTCCAAGCCTTCCTTGGCTTTTAAAAGAGGAATTCTCCAGGGGAATGGCTGGGAACATGCACTGGGAATTTCCTTTTCCAGGTGTAATAGCCTGGCATCGTTTGTATGCGTACCAAAATTCTGCAGACTCCCTGTGCTGAGCGTTACTATGGTCTACAGCTGTCCTCCCCCAGAAATGTGGCTGGAAATGTCAAGCACAAAGCGAGAGCCCATTAATTTCCTTCCTTTCCAGCCGTGCCCGAAATGGTGTGCTTCCTTAAAACAGAGAAAGAGCGGGTGCTCCCAGATGCTTTGCAAAGGAATTCCTCGTTCCCTGGAGAGATATTTCCTTTTATTAATGTCCTCTGCAAGCAGAAGTGCGTGAGCCAGCTTGGCTCCCAGGGCTTACAGGAATTGTTCTGCCTGTTCCTATAAATTCGACTGGGACATGCAGGCTCCGGCGTGGAGATAGAATCATAGAATCGTAGAATGTCCTGAGTTGGAAGGGACCCATAAGGATCATCGAGTCCAACTCCTGGCCCCGCACAGGACCGGCCGAATCAGAGCGTATGACTGAGAGCGTTACCCAGATGCTTCTGGAACTCAGTCGAGCTCGGTGCTGTGACCACTTCCCTGGGGAGCCTGTTCCAGTGCCTGACCACCCTCTCGGTGAAGAACTTTTCCTGATATCCAAAGAGATGATTCTCCTTGGTCCTCCTGCGGGGCCGTAGCATCGCGTTGTGCTCCCCTGCTCCCCCCACGGCGTTAGCGGGTGAGCGGTGGGCAGGAGGCGCTGGTACAGCCTCGAGGATTGACGAGTACGTTTCGCGTAAGAGCAGATCTGCAAAGCAAACCTGGCAATAGGAGGGTTTTGAAAAGCGTCTTTCAGTAAAAAGGCCCTTTCGTATCTGGTGCCAATTGGAAGCGTTTTTATTCATGTGGTTCCCTCTCAGTTTTCTGTGAACAGATTGTCTTGAAGAAAAAGCAGGATTTTTCTAAAGGATTATGATAGAAAGTTACGGCAGAAAAATGCAGTTTCGCAATGATCTAAAATTTAGCTCAAGTGAAGTACCAAGTTGGTGTTTGCACGCCATTTGTGCATTAATTTTCCGCCCTCCAGACAGTTGGCTGAGTTTTCATCTAGGCAATCAAATTATTATGCCTTCTCAAACAGCCTGTAGATGAGTATATAGCCTTCATTCCGATACGGGAGGCTGAAAGAAACACTAAATCTGTGGTAAACATAGCCCTAATATTTGAAGAACACTTTTGAGATGCCCACGAAGAGAAGTCGTTCTTCTCTGGAACCCACTGAATTTTCTGCTGCCGTTTGGCGCTTCGTATTTGGTAACTTTTGAGAAGAGGAGCGTGGCAATGAGTAAACCGAGCAGTTCTACTGCGTGTTCCTCTTACACCGGCTAGTACGTTGGGCTGGAAGGAGCCACGAGCTGCTCTGTCCAAAACACGCGCCTGCTCGCTGTCCGTCTGCGGCACCTCTAATGCACCTCAACGTCAATCGCTTCCCACGACGGCTGTCTCTTAGCGTGGCTGGGATGATACTCACTTTTACACGTGTGAGGTGGTGTATGAGATAGTGATGTTTCTGGAGGAAAGCAGTCGAGTGAAATAAGTGCTTTCAGCATGATTTATCGATTACTTCAGGTTGAAAGGAGGAGTGGTTTTGCAGCGGAAATTCTGACATTTGATGAAATTTGAATTTGAATTAAAAATGAGAGTGAATTGGGGGGGCACTTCAGGAACATATCATGTTGAAAATGTCAAAGCATTTTGTTTCTTGAAGATAGCAAATTTCTTCTGCATGCAGTCAGAATATTTTAAAATCTATCATGAAATTAAGTTCTAAAATTAAATATTTTAATTCACCACAAGCCACAAAAAAATTCAAGTGATACGACATGTGTGAAATATCACGTACCTGCAAAATGTTGATTGCAACGAGTATGCAGTTTTTGACAGAAAGTTCTTTTTTGAACATTCCGGCTACCAATGAACTGTTCTGATTATTCCTGTCAACTGTCTATAAGCTGTTTATGATCCTGAGCACCCTGTATGAATGTCTTTGCAAATAATGGCTTTTCAAAATATTTTTGATTATTGAATTCTTATGTAGCAAATGTAGTTTTGTGGTATTTGTTGCTTCTGTGTATAAATAATGATCCCAAACTGATCTTTTTTCCTGAAACGCTGTAAAGTATCTTTTTATGTTACAGCAACTGTTCAACTGTCAAGCTTTACGCAAACTGAGTATACCAGACAATGACCTTTCGAGTCTGCCAACCACTATTGCTAGCTTAGTTAATCTCAAAGAACTTGATATCAGTAAAAATGGTAAGAGATCAAAAGTATAAGTATTTTAAAGAATTGTAATGAATATGAACAATGATGAAGTTTTAATTCCTAATGATTAACAAACTTGTGTTCTAGAAAACTCGCTCTTTTTTTCTAGATGATGTGCTGTTTTCCTGTCTGGCACTTTTGAGCAGTCTGGGTAGATATCTACCCCATTAACTTTTCTGAAAAAAAAAAAAAAAAAAAAAAAAGAGGTTGCTTTAGCATAGCATCCTGTGATGACTTGTCACCAGTAAACATTAGAAGTAGGAGTGGGAGACCGTTTCTCAGTGCACCTAAGAACCATTCCACTTCCGAAGTGGCTTAGTACTTACTGGGCCCTTGTGCGAAGTGTTTCAGCATAGAAGGCTGCAGGTAAACAGCTGCCAGGATTTATGGAGCCAGTGGCTGCTTTGCTGATGTGCATTTCCAAATTACGCATGTGCATAGTGGTGTGCCTGAAAAACCTTTGCATGTCTGAACTGAAGTGTCTTTCTTCTGAAAATGAGGCTTAGGCACTCAAAAAATTTTAAAAAATTTCTTATCAGTATAGGCGTAGAGACTCTCAGGATGATCGTGCGGTCTCCTGAGAGGAGAGGGAGGCAAAGAGGAAAATGATAAGCAGTGCGGAAAGAAGTGAAAGTCAGAAATGTCAGTGCAAATGATGTCACTGTTTAACTCTAGAAGATTATAGAAATCAAGCATTAGCATGCTAGTTTTAATACAAGGCATATCGTCTGTTCTAGTGTATTTGTGTAGTGCTTAAGTATCATCTTTTAGACTATAATAGTGAAATGTATGTATTCTTCCTGTTATAGCTTAAGTCTGATCTGAAAATGCCAAATGAACTCATTTATGAACAAAACAAGTTAAACAGTTTTTTTAATGTGTGTATAATAACTCTTTCAATATTTTTTTAGGAATTCAAGATTTTCCAGAAAATATTAAATGTTGTAAGTGTTTAACAATTATTGAAGCCAGTGTCAATCCAGTCTCTAAGTGAGTATCTGTGGCTTGTGTTTGTATACTGCAAGTGCAGAAAATTTACACAAAGTGAACTAAAATTTAACGGCATTGTATCAAGTTCATTTGCAGGATCAACCTAAATTTCTTTGTAATTGTTTGAAATCCAGGGTTGATGCACCTATGAAAAGATCAGTGTACTGTGTGAGAACCGTGGTGTCTTTCCAGCTAGTAAAGGAGCGCTGGCAGAGCAGTCCCTGTCCCCGTCCCTGTGATGCAGCCTTGTAAACACGGGGGGGCTGGTGCTTTATGAGCTTGGGAAGTAAGCCCTGCTGCATCCTCACGTACCGTAATCTCCTGGTTGGGACTTTGGCAACCCTCATTCCTGCCAAAAAACTTATAATAATAGTGACAAAAAATGTGGTTTGTAATCCCATGATTTATAAAGTGGAGTGAAGGAGATGAAAGGATGAAATTTTACTATTTCGGTTAAAAAAAAAAAAAAAGGGAAAGAAGAGAGGGAGGGAGAGAGAAAGAAGGAAGGAAAGAGAGAGAAAGAAAGAAAGAAAGAAAGAGAGGGAGAGAAAGAGGGAGAGAAACAGAGAAAGAGAAAGAGAAGAAAGAAAAGAAGAAAGAGAGAAAAGAAAGAGAGAAAGAGAGAGACACAGAGAGAAAGAAAGAGAAAGAAGAAAGGAAGAATGGAAGAAAGTGAGCCTGCCTTTGGCTTAGACCGCTCAGCTGGGAAGGACAAAAGGCTGGTGTAATGTGAATGTGCCAGGCGTTGGAATGTCACGTGGTTATAGCAATGTGGAAAGGATGAGAACGGGCAAAAATGTTGTCTGTAGCAAGTTAGTTCTTCTTGAGAATTTGGGTAGAAAAAGAAGGTGAGAAAGAAAGTCATCTTTCTCTTTCTAAATATACATTGTTGTTATTTCCATAGCAACTTTGGTGTGAGCATTAAGCTTTTAACTGTTTTTTTAGGCTGCCAGATGGCTTCACACAACTTCTAAATTTGACCCAGCTCTATCTAAATGATGCCTTTTTGGAGTTTCTTCCAGCTAACTTTGGAAGGTAAGAATTAGTCATCAAAGCACATTGCTCTTTCGTATGAACCAGTTTAGGCTTTAAGGGACCATTTTAAAGCTCTATTCTTTTTGAAAACAAAGCACGCAAAACAAAAAAAACCAAAGAGATTTTGGGTTCCCAGCCCTGTTTTGATGAATGATTGTTGTTAGAGAGAGTGTTATGTCAGCAAGAATTTTATGATGAACTGATGCAGGTTGGTGGTTTGGGGAAAAGGTGAGAAGAGATAGAAATTGAAGAAGAGGCTTGTCCTTGATCAAATGTGTTATTAAATTGTGACAAGGGCAGAAAAATAACAATACGGTCTATGCTTGTGAAAAATGAACAGAAGGAAAAAGTGTTGTGAGTCAGAAAGGAAGAGAGAAATGACTGAGCCTGGTGGGGTAACCAAAGGAAAAATGTGAAAGCAAGAGAGAAGGTTCAGAAGCAGCAGAAGAGAAAGGATGGAGAATGAGAGTGAAAATAAATGCAGCAGAAACTGAGCCAAAAAGTGTTAGATAAGGACAAAGCAGAAGGGGTGGGAAACCAGAGGCAGCAATTTGCCATGGCCATTTAAGGGGGCTGTAGAAGCCGGAGCATCCTCACGCTGGCTCCGGTACCGTGGGGAGGGAATGCTCAGCCCGTCTGCCCTCGCCTTGTCCTGCTGGGCCGGCGGCTCAGCGGGCAAAGCCTTGACAGAGAAAATATATGGCGGTGTTACGGAACGCACCTGGTATTGGTCTTTTCCTGGTCCCTCCAGCTACCCATACGTGTGGTTTATTGTTCAACTGGGAGCATCAACTCAGCACTCCAGAATTACTGCTGAGGCGCCAGAATTTGTGCTGGACATGACGTTGGTGTGCCCAGGCACTGAGGAACCCAAAGCGCGGCTTTATCAGCTTCCGCAGCGGGGCCTGACGCTGACCCAGAGCTGAGTCTGGGCTTTACGCTGCATTACCTTTGGGAAAGCGCTGGTTGAAGGAGGAGGAAGAGAAGTTGTCAGTGTTTGCATTTGATGAGTGTTTGGAATATCAGAGTAAATCCTAAGCCAGCCTGCTTCCGCTGTTTGGATTCGGACATTATGTTCAAATGTGAAGGAAAAATAAGTATATGAAATACCCTGCAATTTATCAGACGCGTAGTGTTTACATTCATTATGCTCTTCTAAAGCCTCGCTGGTACTTTGTCTAATAATCTTTGTCACTTAAGGGCACGTCTAGTATTCTACATCTTTTAGCAGAAAGCACTAACTTTTTTTTTTCTTTTACAAATGCATATTTTGTCTAAATGAAATGACACTAGTTCCAGTTGTGGTTGTTGTTCCTGTATTATTATTCTGCTCCTATATCACCTATTTGGTATCTTGCATTTACAAATCCTCACCACGTTTCCAAAGCTTCCCCCATCAGCATACAAATACTGCTTTTTTTTTTTTTTTTTTTTTGCTAGCCACACGTAGCTCTTTAGCAGTAGCTCCCTTATTGCTCTTCTCCAAATTTTAGTGCTTTCTCGCTATCTTGAGGTGCAGTAACGTTCAGGTAGGCTGTTCTGTTCTGAGTAAAGTCAGGAACAGAGTCTACCTGAGCACCATGTGAACGTCTCTCCACGTTCCTCATTTAAAGGTGTTCTTTCTAGTCCAGGTTAAGCACAGCTGTAGGACTGGAAAGGTTTCCTGCTTTATTTGGTGGGAAAAAGATAAAATCATAGTTTTCTAGACAAGCACAATATTGGGAAGCCTGAGGTTCCTGAGGTTCCTGACAGCTGGTGGCGTGGTGGGCAGAGCTCTGTAGAGCTGTGTGGTGGTTGTGCGAACTGTGCTCACGGACATGTGCTTACACTAGTGGCACTGACGGGCCAGGCCTGGAGAGATAGAGGCATAGGAAAAGCAGTGTTAATGAAACCGTCGAAGCTCCTCAATAAACCTTCTTCACATTTCGAAACGGCATTATCAGCCTGAAAGGTTCCATGGTGTGACTCTGGGCTGACACCTCCCGTTAGAGACAAGACAATTAACAATTAGCTGCGCGGAACCGCTCGGCTTCACGCAGGCCTTGAGCAGCCCTGGGCACAGTCAGCTCCCACGTTGAGTGTACCTCCAAAACACAGGAGATTCCACGCTCCACATTTTCTGTGAGCGGAGTTGTACAGTTCGAGATGAAGAGGAAAGGACCTTGTTCATCCGTTTGGTTTCATAGCCTCTTCCTTGTCCTCCCCACATTGGTTACAGCTGGGGGCTAAAGAACCAGCTGGGTTCATGACATGACAAGGGTGACATGAATCAAAATCCTTTCCTGTTTATCAAATTATCTTCCTAGACGGTACGAGTAAGCAGACAGTACTGCCCCAACTTCTTGAACTCTAATACATTGGGTTCTTCATCTCTTATCCGGTGTGTCCTCCTTCCTTCCCGTTGCTCTGCTTCATGACATTTATTGCTGTGGCTTCAATAATATCGCCAGTTAGCGTTTGCCCGGTGATGTGGCATGGTGAAGTCCTGGCGCATACGGGCTCTAATCCGTGCCAGCGCTTCAGCGCACGTCCTACTTCTCTTTCGAGAACGGTAAGTTCGGTGCAGGTCTGCTCTGTGGTATTGGTCTGCCAGCTGTGAAAATTACTGTGAAAAACCGATATATGTCAAAGTTTTGCAGAAGAGTTCAGATAAGGACATCTGAAGCTAGCTGTCCTTACCCGAAGCGATTTGGTTTGAATAAGTTTTGTATCATGTTCAGCCCCACAGTAACGGGACATCTTACTGGTGCGCATTGCACGGACTCTTTCTTTATTGGAATAAGTAGTTTTGAATCATTCTTAAGGATTCGTGAACTAATTCATTGAATGAACTAATTCTTTTCTATCATATTTCTAGACTTGTTAAATTGCGGATTTTGGAGTTAAGAGAAAATCACTTGAAAACTCTACCAAAGTAAGTGATTGAATATTTACATAAGTCTCTTTCACCTGATATTTCCAAAAGTACAAAATACTTTTATTGTTAGCGATGCAACCGCGTCATTTCTGTTAAGAGTTATTTTTTCCATGCGTTAAGGAAATTCTACTGAAGGTTTTTAGCAAAAAGCAAACAGATAATGGCAGATGGAGACTGGTGACTGAGCTGACTGTAACTCAATATCCAAAAACTATAAAGTGACATTTTCAAATCTGAGATGTGAACAGGATTGGAAAGCAACTGATGAGATAACCCTGGTCAGTGATGATGTGACAGTATTTCCCTCATCAAGAAGTAATCTGATGTATTGAAAACATACTCAATGTAACCTTGGTAGAACAATCTCCCCATGTGATCTGTACAGAAATTAAGTGTATTTGGTGGTTTACAATGCTGTTTAGAAACCTGTGTCATCAGAATATTGAGGAAATGTCAATTCGGTAGTGTTTCTTGGTACTATTTACCAAAAAAGTAAGTTGCTATAATTTCTTGCTATAATTTGACCAACATTTAAATGATATTTTGAGAAGGAAACAGTAAAGACATCAGTTCCCATGGTGAGATAGGACGTTGCACTGTATAAAACAAGGGATACGTTTTTGTATTCAGACGGCATTGTACAGTTGTTCTCTGTGGCAGGGATCCTCTCCAGTGAGGAAATGCCCGTGGATTGGGGGATTTGTTAGAAACGGGGGTCGTATGTCCCCACTCTGAGCGAGGCTTCTGTGGTGGCAATAGACTGTATTTATGAAATGTGGCTAATGCTGAATCGCATGTTATTTAGCTCGTTTAAAAAGGGCACCCTTTTCAGCAGGCACGTGTCTATCAAAATCTCCTTCGCAGGCATTTTGCCTGTAATGGGATATAGTGACATTTTCACTGCTTTCCGTGAGCTTTTATCCTTTTTTAAGGAAAGCTATTTTATTGTGTTAAAGGCAATATTCTTTATATCAGTGGAAAACACTTTTTTGTATAAACTTTCTATATTTCCTCTGTTCTGAGTTACATTTGCTATTTTGAGGGGAAAGAAAAAAAAAAAAGTTTCAATCTGTTCCCAAAGTGGTTTATTTGCATTTAACAGTGAGACCTGTTCAGGGCAGCAGATTTACAGCCTTTGAGGTCTTTATCATCTGAAGAGCACATACACGCTGTGGTACATTCCGGTTACCTGCCCTGCCTCTTGAACAGCGGTCCCTTTTGGAAGGGAATTGCGTAGGCTTTGCATGCAGGAGGTGCTTGTTGGAATAAATGGATGTGTGTGTGCTAGGATTGAAGAATAGGAGTGCCACAACAGACTAATTTTGATCAAAAAGAATATTTTTGTATTTCTGGTGTAATTCTAATCCCACTAAAGGTGATAACAGATTTGTTACTGAATTCAGTGGGAGCAAGATTGGGATTGTGTGTCATTGTTACGAATACAAATATATTTTATTTTTTTTTCTATGATACATGGTGTTTAACATGCAAATTTTGTCCCATCTGACCAGGGTTTGGAAGATTCATACCTAAGCGTGGTAGCCTCTGGTTTCCGTAGCACTAAGTTTGTTAAGGTGGCTGAGCATGGCTTTTCCCACTGTAGGATTCGGAAAGGAGGGAAGTTCTTTGATTCCTGTAACCAAGGGAAACATTATTTGTCGGCGTGTTTTTCTCTGCTCTTTGCTATGGCAGAAGGCTTCGCTGTGTGCTACTGAGACAAACCAGAAAGAAAAGGTTTCGCTTATGCAAAAGCTGTGCTTAAAGCTGAGCAATGAAAGGGACAGCTGTGTTATGAAATCAAGTAAGAGGAAGAAAGTCAACAAGGTCATTTTTGTGTCATTGGGGACAAAAATGGGGGATCTGTGCGTTTCTGGGCCTCTTTTATCCTCTCGAGCAGTTTTCTGCAGAAAAGCAAAAAGGGGTGTGCAGTGTAACGGACAGACAGGGGTTAACACGTATCGCAGGGCGGGAGTTTAGAGGATCCTGCGTCCTAGCGAGGTGGATTTGACCTCTCCTATAAAACGGCGGTAACCGTCTCTTTGCGTGCTGGAGCAGCTCAGGGCTGAGCGTGGGAGGTCGGAGCAGGAGCGTGGCAGGGCCGTGGGCGAAGGCGGACCCGGGCTGCGGCAGGGAGAGCTTCCGCGGTGTCGGCGGGTGGTTCAGGGGAACAGGAGAACATAAATACTGCACTGTTTTATTTTTTCAGCCAGTAAGAGAAGGAAAATTGTCACAGGAAAGCTGTGTCTACAGGAGAACTATCTGCAGTTAGGGAAACAAATGCAGTAATATAAATCAGAATGTATTTTAGAATCTAGTTGCAAAAAAGGTGATGCATGTTTTTCAGATATATGCTTAAAGGCTTGCTTTCTTACCCTACAATTTATTAGATATACCGTGAATAAGATAAGCTGATAACATTGGTGGTTTGACCAGTAGTTCTAATGTAAGAAATGACAGGAAAAGGAAGGCAAATAAATAATTTTAATATTGTAATTTGGCTTTCGAATAGATGTGAAATGTACCGTAGGACTGTTCTAAGGAACTTCTGCTCAGTCCTATTTCCATGTTAAGTACAACTTAAAAGATGTTATCAAAACGCAGGTCATATGCTTTCGTCTGTTCTGTGCCGTAAAATATGTATAAAGAATGTTTAAAGGGAACATTTAACAGTTTGGCATAAACAGGAGTTAAATGTGCTTTGTGTTTCCCATAGTTCTAATTTTGCTATATTTCACACTAACTCGACAGTCAAGATTGTTGTAACGTGTCTCCATAGTGACTGAATGAAAACGCATAAAATTGTTTACAAAGATGTCTGAGGAAGTAAATACTGCCTATAGCTGGCTGACAGGCAGGTCTGTAACCAGCGCACGGGTCCCCAGAGCATCCCTCTTTAACACCTCGCGCAGTAAAACGTGAGCGCTTCCCCTTGCTGCATTTGCTGACGGTCTTTTATGGCACCTAAAAGATGCCCAAACGCATCGCTGTATTCCCAGGCGCTTTCCCGGGAGAGGATCGGTGAAGCGTTGGTCAGAAAATGCTTTGGTGATTCTTCCGCTTTCTTCTGGCAGGCATCCTGACCGCCGCCGCTCCCTTGCTGTATCGTCCTGGGCCGGCGACGTACGGTGCTCTTCAGGTGCAAACGCTGCGGGATGCTCCTGGTTTCTGTCAGCAGTACTTTCGCTTCAGAAAATGCTACTAGGTTGACAAATATTTTTAAATACTGAAAATATGTGTATGTTTGGTCTGCGGATCTTCACAATATTGTTTTTAAAAATCAGTATTTTCTCTCTTATATGGTTTGACTAATGGTTATTGATACTGGTTTCCAGGATCGTTGGAGCATTTAGAAAGATTTGGAAACCTCTGGCCAATATTGCAAATAATTTTAAATATTTTATTAAAGCTTTAATTTGTGCAGCAAAAATGGAAAAACCTGGGTTTTCCTCTTTAATTTCTGCTAAATGTTTCAGAGCAGTTGTGAGGTTCTGACCAAGTTTCCTACGTTTGAGCAACGTTACCGCCTACATCACAGGGTCATCTTTTGGCTTGAATAAACCAGCCGAGATAATTTTTATTTTTTCTGTTCGGATAAAAACGAACTTGACCTTTACTCGCTCTAACAACGTGGAATATTAATATTACTGTGCAATAGCTCGGGCCTGTTCCTGGCTGTGACTGGCACTTACCGGGCGGGATCTGAGTTTTTCCCAATCTTTGGGCATTTACTGATCCGCGTGCGGAGCCTCTCTGGTCACGCAGGTGCCAGTGACGGCCCTTGGCACGCATCTCTTGGACACGAGGGCAGACTTTTTATTGTCCAGCTCCTTTGGACTCTGGGCTCTTTCAGAAGACTCCAGGAGTGTTTGGAGTCATCCCAACTCATCGCAAAACCTACGTTGCATTTCCCCAGAGCGTCATACTTCTCCGCATATCCCCTTGGTCTGTCGTTTAAAAGCGTTTCTGTTCATTTGTCTGGTGCAGTTGTCAAAGTCGCCGGTCTGTCGTTTCCCAGGCTTATCCTGGAACGATTTAACAATTGTGGTGACCTCAGTTGCACGCTCGCCAGCGACGCAGCGCTGCAGCACTGCCTGAGAAGTTACGTGTGTCGTACGCGCGTGTCGCCAGGGCCCTTCACTGTGGGTGAGCGCTGCGGCGTGGGAGCCCACCCAAATGCCGAATACCAATGCAGAAAATTAATTCTGTTTTTCTGCTCTGACCTTCTTTTTTTCCTGAGCATTCCTTTTATTTCTTTTCCATAGACTCTGGCAGGCTTCCCACTCCTGAGGGGCCTGAAAAAAGATTTATTACTATTTTTTATGCCGTTTTTCACATATTTCTGAAGATATTTTCTGGCTTTTATAGTTAACCATTCTGTTCTATTTTCCTTATTCGGAGATGTTTTCATCTTTTTAAAGGATGTCTTCTAGGTCTCCTATATTTCTTCTTTGCCATTTTGGCCTTGGATTTTCTCAAGTCCTTTTGGCAGGTGATTTTGTATTGCTTTAAGTGTCTTGGTCTTCTCCCAGCAGAACCACGTTGCGTCGTTAATGACAGCGAAGTCCGTGCCGGTCAGCGGCCTCGACGCGTGCCACGCGCATGCAAGAGGCTGAC